TGTACCTATGAAGTATATTTTCGACACAAATATTTTATTTGCAACACCGGGTAAACTTGTTGGGCAGTCTTTTCGGAACCCGTCCATTTGTGAATCATTACTATGATACGATGTTATGTAGGTGGGTATATTTATATATGTGCACATGTATTTTGGTGAAAAGTGAAGGCGAATGATGAGTTTTAGAAAGGTTTATTGTGACGTTACGATCCAAACTAGGACTCGTTTAAAAGCTTAAAAGAATAAGAGTACCGATATCAATGAGATAAAAAGATTTACTTGAAATTGATCAGAGCAGCACGTTCTCCATCCAAATGGCCAACGCTGATGGACATGTCTCCAAATTCATTGAAATCCTGAAACAAGTAGTCTTGAATAGCTTCGATGCTCAACTTCGAGGAGAAGTTGCGCACACACAATGTTTGAAATGAATCTGGATGTGGGTTCTTTAAACTGCCCATGCGCAGACCAGAATGATGCCCTGTGCTGGAGTAGACTTTTCCCTCCCCACCTCGATCACGATGTGAACGTCGAGGGGATCCCGGACCGGAGCGATCTCTATGCGCGCGTCGCGTGTGCGAACGCATGGCTTTCGGCGAATTATCACGTTCACGAACACGTCGCATGATCTGTGTTTAAGAAACGAGTTAAGAGTGACTGGAGATAAAGCTGTGAAATCAAACTATGCATTGAATGCCATTGGGAAAAAATTGCCAATAACCAGAATCAACGGGAATTTTCCGAATAGAAGCCTACACTCGCTTATCAGCACAATACATCCTTCCATTAAAAACTTATGAGATTTTTACATGAGGTAACGGTCGTCGTTTAATTCATGACAGTGGGAAATTGGAACTATGAAGTTCACTCACTTCAATCCGCATCCGTAGATGAAATGAATAAATAAACAATTTGTGAATGAGTATTTCCAAAACGCACCAATGCAAAAGTGACTAATCTAGTTTGGTGGGGTAAGCACTTTTTATTGTACAAAATTAACTGCGCTAAAAGGGATCAGTTTTACTTGCAAATAAAGTAGGACGCGGGAAGAGAGAAAATAAGCGTAAGAACCAGCTTATTGACATCAGTTTTAAAGAAAACATTTGAGGGGGAACGAAAAGCCAGACAGAGAAAAAGTATTACACAGTCTGGCCTTGCAAACGGTGGAGTCGAACTCCTCCCAGGGATTAGAGACCTTAACTTAGAATATGCCCATGACATCGAATTGCTGGGTGACGATACACAGGTAGCTTTGAACCGCTCGGTGATCGAGGTATCCAAGTATGGCACGTGCTTTGCACCATCAAAGGGCAAAGTGTTTGTTCAAGACTGACAGGAGCTTGTGCTTGAACTCAGCTGGAAGTAGTTGAGAGCTTTAAGTACCTCGGGAGCTTGATCACAGTTGGTGGAGGTGTTGGGGAGGAGATCACATCACGAACAGCGAAAGCTAGAGCAGCTTCCACCGATGCCTTCAAAGCATTGTTCGTGTCTGGTGGGAACACCGGGTGAGTAGTGACGAGGTTCGTCGCCGTGTGTTGGGTGAGGATAGTCGTCCTCTAACAGAAGTAATCGCTCTACACCACCTCCGTATGCTTGGGCACGTACTGCGTATGCCTGTGTATCGACTACCTTTTCGTGTTCTCTTCGCACGTGCCAGGCAAGGCTGGCAGAAGCGGCGCGACGGTCAGACCATGGCAGGGACTAGAGGCATGAAGAAGCTGGCTTCAGCTTTGGCTTCGGTTGGTGCAGCCCGC